CTTTTTCTGCAAATGCTAATTGTCTGGCCATCACTGGCTTCCATGTGATCTGATGCACTCTTCTGAAACACGCAGGCAGCTCAGGAAAGTCTGGAGAGTCAAAACCCCTGAACTGTAAGCTTGTTCCAGCTTTGAGGTTGTTGAGGACTTGCATTTTTTTTGAAGCAAGAGGTCCGCAACAACAGCCTACATACGGTATACTCACTGGCCACTTTTTTAGGTACACTAGTGCTAGTACTGGGTTGGACCCCCTTTTGCCTTCAGAACTGCTTTAATTCTTCGTGGCAAAGATTTAACAAGGTGATGGAAACATTCCTTAGAGCAGGGGTCCTCAAACTTTTTAAACGGGGGGCCAGTTCACTGTCCCTCAGACATTGTTGGGGGCCGGATCAGGAAGCCAGGAGGCGGGTCATGACATGCTGCCCAGCTTCCTGATTGGCTAGGCAGCAAGCTTCAGTTGGTAGGCAGCCTGGCTTCCTAACCAATCAGTAAGCTGGCCGCCACGTCATGACCCACCCCCTGGCTTCCTGATTGGCTAGGAAGCCGGCTTCACTTTTTTCTAGGCAGCCTGGCTTCCTGACCAATCAGGAAGCCAGGTGGTACTTCATGACTTGCATCATGGCTTCCTGATTGGCTGGGAAGCAAGCTTCACTTGTTGGTAGGCAGCCCGGCTTCCTAACCAATCAGGAAGCTGTGACACGAGTCATGACGTACTGCCCGGCTTCCTGATTGGTCAGGAAGCCAGGCTGAATAGAAAAAATTGCTGCAACAGAGCAGGCTGGTTACTACTTAAACCGGCGCGCGCTGTGTGCAGCTTCTGAGAATACACGCTATTAGCGTAGCAGGAGCTGTGCAAAATGCGCAACCGGCGTCTCCGCTACGCTAATAGCGTATATTCTCAGAAGCTGCACACAACGCGCGCCGGTTTAAGTAGTAACCAGCACGCTCTGTTGCAGCTTCTGACAGCGTGGGAGATGGGACGCAGCGTTCGTCGGTGGATCCAGGGATCAGGTGAATATTACAATATATAGATATATAGTT